TTGGGTCACCTTTCTTTGTGATAGGAACAAATATCGATCTCTTCCAAAAATCTATAGGGAGGATCAGCTATGAGTAGGTTCCAAGGGCAATGATGTGTACACAAGTAACACTGATAAGGATGCTAACCAAAGATACAGCACTGGAGATTACCCAAAGGAAAAGAGAATTATGGTCAGAATCCTATAAAATAGTTAATGGTTGGAGGAGGGAAAAATGTGCAAACAACACAAAAGGTATATATAGGAGAAAGGTCCAGGCAACGCGATAAAAATCATGGGAAGAATTCTAAGGAGGAAAAAGTAGTCAATTAATGTAGGGAATTGTGGTGGCCTAGTGGTAAAGGTCTGAATCCATCAGCTGAGAAAAATAAGCATTCTCCTCTTACTGTTGGATGGGCATCCTGTTACTAGAGCAACAGTAAACAACAAAGTGTCAACTGCTGCTGAGATAGAATAAACACAAAGATTCATAGTGGTAGGTTGAAAGGCAAAGTGGTACTCAGGGTGATTACACGAGGGAAAAGAGTGTAAAAGACAAGAGGGATCTGCCGTCCTCTACAACAAAATACTAAACACAAAACTGTTTCAAGTTTTTCTAAAGCAAAATAGAAAACGAAATTCAAACAGAATCACAAATGGGTCAAAATGAGTAAGCATAGCCTAAGGGACCTGAGGCATTTGCTGCAGAAGGTCAAGGACTGCAGCCTTCAATATGGATTGAAGGTCAACATCAAGAAAAAGAAAGATTCTCATCACTGAGCCAATTGGCAGCATCATGATATGGGAAGAGACTGAAACTGTTAACAGCTTTAGCTTGCTTGGCTCCACAATCACTCTTGGTACCAGCACCCAGGAAATCAAAAGGCAAACTGCATTGGAAAAATCTGTTGTCTGGGACTTCTCCAGAGTACTGAAGAGCAAGGATATCAGTCTACAGACCAAGGTGCACCTCATTCAGGCCATGGTCTTTGCATTTATTTGCTATGCATCAGAGAGACAATGACTAGAGATGACAGAAGAATCATCAATGCATTTGAGTTGTGGTACTGGAGAAAAGTATTGAATATACCACGACTGCTAAGAGAATAAACACGTCTGTCCTGGAGAAGGTGAAACAGGCTGCTCCTTGGAGGCTAGGATTTTGAAGCTCCATCTCATATACTTTGAGCATGTTGCCAGGAGGGACCAGTTCTTGGAGAAGGACATCATGCTTGGAAGGTTGGAGGGACAATGCAGGAGAGGAAGACCCTGGATGAGATGGACTAAGGAAATGAGGGTAGGTGTGTTGAAGACAATGAAATTGGCTCAAAATAGAGCAGGGTTTAGAGCTGTTGTACATAGAGGGCATATCACCACCACCATCACAATAAAGAATATATTTAACATACTAAAGAACTGAGACATTCGAATTGTGCTGTTGGTAAAGAATACTGAACACACTCTTGACAGTCAACAGAATAAATCTGCTTGGAAAAATGGCAGCCAGAACACCCTCTAAAGGCAAGGATGTCTTGAGCATGTAATCAGGAGGGCCCAGTTATGCCAAATAACTGTTCCTCTTAAACACGAGGCAGTGAGCTTCGTGAAGACATCAGGCTTGGAAACCTTGGAAATAGGCAGTTCAATTCTATCTTTATAGGCAGAGCTGGAATCAACTTGACGGCAGCTGGGGTTAAATTATCTAAAAAAACAAGTAAATCTGTCTTGGAAGAAGTATAGCCAAAAATACTCTTTGTAACAGGATGGCAAACCTTCATCTCACTTTAATTAACAGCAAGTCTTTGAAGTACAAAATGCTTGGTAAAGGGACAGTGCAAAAGAGGAACGCTCAGTGAGATGGATTGACAGGGACCTCAACAATGGGCTTAAACATAGCTGTTAAACTGTAAAGACAGCACAGGACAACACAGTGTTTGATTGTGTTGTACATAGGTTCTCTATGAATCAGAACTGACTCAGTGGCATCTAACAAATTATCAACAGAAAAGTTACCTCCTAAAATGTTTAATTTTCTAAAGAACCACACAGGGAAAAAAAACCCTGCAAAATGGTTAAGTTCCTCTATTACACAGAAAAGAGAGCCACCTGTTCCCGGTTCTTTTCAAGCTTTTACTACTTTTTTGTCTATTAAAATTTTTCCTTATTAAGGAAGCACTGAACAGCAATTAACAATAAAAGAATTTTAATACATTTACTATCTTCTCTGGATTTTCTCCCCTCGATTCTAAAAGAATAAAATACATCTATTATTACTCATAGGGAGCTCTGGTGTCCTAGTGGCAAGAAGCCAAGCTGCAATTCCAGAGGCACATGATTCAAGGCCACCAGCTGCTCCAATGGGAGGATGGGCAATCCCCTCCAATGCAATTAATTGCCTCTGAAAACCCACTGGAGGGTCAGCTATGGGTCGGTTCTGACTCTATGGTACACGACAACATTACTACTCATCCTATTTCAATATCATGGTATTTAGGCCAATTCAAGACATCCAAAAAATGGATTTCTATCATTCCTATAAAACCGAACTACTGAAAGGACACACTCTAGGGACCAATACAGTAGATACTCTGCTCAAGTCAAAGTTCTAATATTCCCCACCCAAAGTATAAGAAATCTTTACCTAGGATACACAATGAACTTAATGTACAACCAAACTCGACTGTTATATTTACAATTATCTTCACCTTGACCAAGCAGCAACACAATGAAATTTTATTAAAAAGAAAGTAAAACAGTTTCTCAAATTTAGAATGAGGCAAATATTCTATGATATAAATGTTTAAGCATCAACAAAGCTTTTAAATATGTAAATGAATTCGAACTGCATCTCTCACAAACAGTAAATTTAAATACACAAATAATGTATTTCCTAGTGATGACTTCACTTAAATTTTCTATAACTGATTTATCAGCTATGTCCTCTTTAAATGTTAAAACTAAAG